ATATATATATATATATAAATGAATTTGTTTATATATATATACATATTTATATATGTACAGAAATATATATATATATATATATTCAGAAATAGGTACAGAAATATATATATATATGTATCTATATATATATATATGTGTAATAAAAATTTATATTAATAGATGTATATGAATATATACGTGTATGTACATGATATATATATACAATATATATATATAGATGAATTTGTTTATATATATATATAAATGAATTTGTTTATGTATATATATATATATACAGAAATAGATATATATATATGAATCTATATATATTAATATATACGTGTATGTATATGATATATACATATATTATCTATTTATATATATATATGAATACAACATACATATATATATATACAGGAAAATATGTGTATTTATATGGAACATATATATATATGCAAATGTATAAATCTTATACAAGTGCAGCTATTCAAGGAAAATACATTTGTATTCTCGTTCGTCATCCAGCAAATTCTATCGGTACATGTATTAAATACATCTTAAAAGTTTTAGCAGTTCCGAACGTGGGCGATGCACAATAATACATCACCTGCTGACTCTTATTGCTACATTATATCGACCTTTAACTTTTCATGAAATTGGCTCTTCAGCAGATTAGACGAATCGGAGGCTATTCGCCCGAAATTTCAATGTGCTCATTTTTAATAATCGAACGACTAACAAGATCATTAGACGGTACAATTTCCTCCGCTCGCCACTCTCAATACGCAGGCGTGCATCGTATTGTAACATCGTCGTCGCAAAGGCTGTTTATGTGATCATCTACGATACTCACCACAACCATGATCTTGGGGGTTGTAGAATTAATGTATTTCACGAAGGAAGACGCAGAGATCGGTATAGAACGCGCGAGCGCTCCCAAAGCCGATCTCGCGCTAAGGCAAAGAGAAATTAGGATTCAATCTAGCACACGCGCCTGCGGTGTCTGGCACTTTCCGAAGAACGCGACAAACACAGACAGGTCACCACCGAGCAGAGGGAGAGCCTCAGCTCAGTGTGTGTCATGTGCATAAAATAAAACTTGGACAGACCGGGTAAAGATTCGCAATACATATATACATATATTGGCAAAAAACACTCCGCACAGTTCATTTCATCGAACCAACTTGGACATCCAGAGACCATTTGACACGTATATACTTCACATTATAGTACCACAATCCTTAACATTTGAGCAATATAAAAACCAATACTTCGAGTATACAAAGGGCATTACAAAAGACATGCGCAACGGCTAGAGATGGAATGACATTATCTTTGAACTATATATAATAAAACTAAACAATATGAACACTTCTAAGAACCTGTTTGGCATAATATTTGGGCAGGTCCTCTATGTCATGGGTTCTTCTGTATTTGATGCAAGACACTTCTATAACTTTACCAGGACAATAAACAATATTAACTCTTCGGAAACGCATCACATCCATCTAAAACACACCGTGTGCTTGGGCATGATATATATATCAAAATACAATACGTGAGCATCGTGAGTTTAGCAATTGCAAGCCAATCGCAACATTGACACTGCTTTACTAACAACACATTCCAATCTCTCATAACGGCTACTGAGCACATCTCGACCCTCATACAAGTACCAAGCAATCGACAGCTGTTATATTTACACGGCTCCACCGGCCTTATTCATAGTTTATATATGACATGCTACGATATAGGCTGCGGCAGTTTAGACCCTAACTCCGTGCGAATAATTTAACGGTACTGCGTTGGATTGGAAAAAAGGAAACAACAATCAATATCAAACTGCACCAAAGCTCGCGTTAGCGCCGGGACGCAAAAAAATACACGTCTTGCTTTTGTCTCATATAGTATATGTATCATTATACCGACTGTTTTTGACACACCCAATGGATGTTTTAGAATATGTATATCTGAACAAACCTTAAACCGCACACGTCCGACTTCGGCCCATTACGACACTCACACACTATTTTATACAAGCCCATACGCTCCTTCAAACGTGCTACTATCAACAGATACTTTAGAAAGAATATCATTGTACGAAAATATAAAGTATGCAAGTCGGCATCCCAAACATACTCACCATAACACATGCCACGACAACAATCGCAACTACATACCTTGACGAATCCGATGTCATTGGCATACTGACGGAAACACTGACGGCAAATGTTAAGGTGATACTTGCGGATCAGACCGTGCTTATTATCGCACACTCGGCTGTAGGAAGAAGTAGTGCGAGAAGAAACAACATGAGTCTATATACGGCATATGACGATAACCTATCTACCAATGACCCAGGACTTACCACTCGTATCTCTTTGTACTTCGGGTTCTACTTCTAAAATGCATACGGTGTTTAAAAAAAGCCGGCAAATTTATATTCGTCACCGCTGCTTGTCGTACATAACGTCCCACTACAACTACGCTGACGCATTGACACATCAGCACCATGACACTAAAGACTGCTGTTCTCCGGTGTCAATGATCACCATTCGTGCTGTATGTAAAGTGCTTATCCCTAGAGTTGCTGGTCTATGTGCTTTTTACCATATCATCTGGATGATTACCGTCTATTGCCCTTATCGACATTCGTTGGTCATGCTGTCGAACTTTAACAATCCTTCTACACCGTAGAGTAGCTTTGTAGCACGGGTCGAGTGCATGCTGTATATCAGATACCGCAACCGCACATACATTGACGAACTCGTATTGTTTTGCTTTCGTACTATATTGCCAAGTGTAACATGCGAGATTGTGACTAAAGTAACAGGATATTGGATCGACAGCGCAATACGTCCACAGAAACGAGGTTTGCGGAGGTGTTGACATACCAGGCACGACTTCCAGGCCCATAGTTCTTGGGGTGGCTGTTCCAAACCTATAAGTGTATGCGCAGTTATATATCATTAGTACTTTTCATAGTCGTGTGTCGTCTCGAGCATTCAGAAATGCCAACTATAAACCACAAACAGATGTGTTGGCAAGGACCTATTCTAATATGTATTAACTTTAGTGGATGTTTACAGGCAGTGACCATGTATGCGTGTATGTACAAAGGGTCTCCACCTATCGCGCTTACGTACGTTGTTGTGTCCCATGATTGCGGAGTGTGTGTAACCAGCGAGAAAGAGAATAGAACTCTTAGCGTGTGTTGAGTGCAAAAGGACTTCTGAAATTACTGCAGCAATCAAGGATATAGACTACTCTCTCTACCCCAGGCGCGTGGGTCCAAGGATTCAATCGCTGAGTAAATATGTATTCGATCTTTAGGTTTTGGCTGACTTTGACGGCATGTGTGGGCTACTGCAGGGTCGGTGGGTTTGAAACATGTTGGTTACTAGTTTACGACATACAAGATAGTGAGCACCAATATATTTTGGATTTCATATCAAGTTTACGACATTTTGCATATTATAAGTGGGTGCGGCAATTGATTTGAATGGGTTTTATTCCGGTAGTAGACAATTAGCTAGCATTTTCTTTGGTAAAAAATGATAAACATCATGGAATTTTGGCGGGCAAATGATATGCAGTAAAAGTACCTGTGTGTGTATTGAGATTGTACGTATATATCTAAATACATATATTCATCGTAGCAATCGCCGTGAGAAGGCACCGCCATATATACATACATACATATATTTATATAAATTATATATACAATAATATATATGCTTAGGTATATAGGAACTATACTAGTAAAGATAATCTGTTCGCTAATAACGTACTGCTAGATAGACATCAGATATACCAAGCAGATAGTTAAATCAACTTCTAGCTAAATATGTCATTTTTTGAATCAGCACTAAAGCTTGAAGCAGAAGAACTTCGCAAAATACAAAAAGGTATGAGCAGTTTAATAGCCTGTTCACGGAATGGGGAAGTGTGCGAAAGATTCATTGATTACAGATTGCGGTTCGGATTTTTCTTAAAATGTAAACGTTGGTGAGTGTTTACTTTCAAGCATTCTATCTAGAAAAATGTACATAGTCTTGGAACAAAACGTGCTCTGAGCGCAATAATCACTACGTTGCCTTAGACATCAAATGTTAAAGTTAGTGCATTGGCAATGACGCAAAATTCAAGACATGTTAACTTATCTCTAGCGAATTTAGGTATAGTTTTATGAGTATTTATATATACACATACACCCAACTCACACACACACAACGCACACAAACACACAACGCACACGAACACACAACACAATACACACACACATCGAACATACACACAACGCACGCACACACACACATACACACACACAAATGCACACATACACGCACACGCAAATGCACACACACACGCGCACACGCAAATGCACACACACACACACACACACACACACA